TGTCATTAAACCCGCACTCGCCTTCTCCTCTCACCACGTAGAACGGCCACTCGGCTCGCCTCCCCCTTCCTCTCGATCGAACAAAACTCCCGTTGTCAGGTCTTCCCCGCTCGACCGAAGCCTCGCTCGCCTCCCTGCACCGAAGCCCTCGCCTCCTCCCTCTGCACCAAAACCTTCACCTGCTTCAACTCTCTCAACATTCGACACCTGCTTCCCTCCCTCGAACGAAGATCGAAGCCCTCGCCTCCCTCTTCACCTCTTCTTCACATCGCTCCCAGCTGCTTCAAGACTTTCCCACTTGCTTTGTCCCTGCACTGAAGCACTCGCCCGCCTCCCTCTCTCACGCAACCAACATCCAGCACTAGACCTCCCTTCCTCTCGATCGAACCCAGCTCTCGCTTCTTGACCTTCCCCGCTCGACTGAAGCCTCGCTCGCCTCCCTACACAGAAGCCCTCGCCTCACTCTGTTCCTCTCGAAAGAAGCCTCACCTTCCCTCCTCTCCTCCACCGAAAGCTACCGGTTCCCCTCTTCCTCACTCAACACCCGAGGTCATCTTCTTCCCGTTCGAGAGGAGAACGTACCAAATAATTTTGGAGGCAATAGATACTTTGGTTTTGAAAGGCTTACATTTGTGTCAATACAGGTATTCTGAGTATGCTTCTTCATTTCACATTTCTCTATCTTCGATGAGCATTTATTCTAATTAAATTGCTTAGACGGCATGAACTAAAGTTACGAGTGGCTTTCATTTTATTTTCTAAATGGGATTTGATTAGTTATATATTGCACAGGTTTTCGAACTATAAGACAAATTGCCTCTTTGATCTGAATTCCAAGTTTTGTGTAACCACTTAATTAATCAGCTCAATCATTGAGGAGTAAAGAAGTTTTGCATTCATTTAGAAGAAATATCATATTATTTCAAATCATTTTTTGTAGACACATTTTGATTAGCAATTCTTAATATGCAAATCTTTTCTACCGCCTTTTTCATTTCAAATATGTATTTTTATGATCATTTATTGTTAATATAACTTTGTTTCATCTGTTGATCAATGATTCCATTGCTAGGAGGACATTCAAATCACTTAGAATGGTCTTATACTTGCATTAACACATCATGCCCTAGGATGCATGAGAAGAAATGATTTCTCCCAATTTTCTTTACTTGATGAACATATTTTATCATTTATGTGTATTGATTCTTTATATCGAAGCATCACACGTTACAAGAGCTTAAATATTGATATTGTTGTTTAAAAAATAACTTTTCCTTGACTCATTTGCAGTTAATTTTAAAGGCATTTACATACATAACACACGATTTTGTTGTATTTACGTATCTCACAAAAACTTTCATGATTATATACCACTCAAATCTTTAATTTCACATCAAAAATAGCTCTATTTCTTCTTTTTAAAAGTGAAATCCACCTTCTCATGCATAGGTTTGTGGCACCAAACCGCTATAGTTGTAAATATAAAGTTTAGGTGTAAGATATGTGAGTACATGTGAGTTGAGTGGCATGTATGTAAATGCCCCAACATTAGTTGGCGGGCAAGCTCAAATTTTCGATTCAATACTATTATAAGCTATTTTTAAGCATGCTTTGCATGTGATTACTTTCTTTCTTTGCCTTTAAAGGTTGTTGTTTAGAAAAGTGATTTTTGGGCTCATGTAGTTGTTGTCTGGGCTCAAATAGTCGTTGATTGGGCTCATATAGGTGTTGTTTGGGCTCACAAAAGTGTTGTCAGGTCTTGAAATGTGTTGTAGTGCTGTTTTGGCTCATATAAGTGTTGTTTGGTGCATCATATGTGTTGAAAAGTGTTGTTGGGTCCTGAAATGTGTTGCAGTTGTTGTCTGGGCTAAGATAGGTGTTGTTTGGGCTTATATGAGTGTTGTTTGGGGGTCTTTCCTACTATTTTCTGAGCAGATTTTGAGGGCTTTGTCCACAATCATGTTAGCTGATTTTGAAGCAATCTTTGCACTAGTTTTGGAGCAGCTTTGGCACCGTTTTGCACTGCTTTGTTGTGCTTTTGTTGAGCCCATTTGGCGGCTTGTGGGTTGCACTTTTTGGGCCCGTTTGGTGGTTTATGGGTTGCACTTTTTGGGTCCGTTTGGTGGCTTGTGAGCTGCACTTTTTAGTTTCATTTTGTGACTTTTGGGCTGCACTTTTCTGAGTCAATTTGGTGGCTTTTGGACTTTTTTTTTTGTTGATTCGGAAACTTTAAATATTGTTATTTTGGGTTGATCAAAACACTATCTTGGAATAGATATAAACACTCTTCTCGATGGTCGATTTAATTACAGTTCTTGAAAGAATTTAAATGTTTTTAGGCCGATTCACTTGTTGTTGTCCCTTGACTTTGCTAGTTTTGGAAGTGGGCCGTCCTCCTTTCTTTTATTTTATTTCTCTTGTTAAATTATTAAGTCAAAAATAAAAATTTCTGATTTAATTATTTGAAAAACACTTAAAGATATTTGATGATTAGTTAGAAAAAACACTTAATTGAGAGTAAAACACCTTAGATCATTTCAAGCTCAAGTTAAAGTGAAGGCTTCCTAAATTTCATGAGCACACCCTAGGTGTGAGTTCTTCTACCTAATTTTCAAATGAATGATGAAACTAAGCATTTGACTTTAGTTCACAAATTGATTAAAACACTAAACATGAGGATATATCATGATGTGGTTCATGACTTCCTTAATTAAATCATATTGTGAAATTCCCCCAATAACTTAACCTACAGTGAAACCCAATGCATCGAGCTTGGAGCTTGAGCATCACACTCAAATCCTCCTAACAATTGAGGACATTTGTTAATGCCAAAAATGGATCACCGAAGTAGTATAAGTTTGAGGTCTTGGTGGTGAGGGCAATGATGATAGTGTTTATGTGTGCAAATGTGGGAGAATATAATAATATCTCCTGCATCGATGACCTTCAATGAGAGGAGAGCATGATCGATCATACCATTCACCAACTCTTGGTGTGAAATTGCATCTGACTCTCTTAGGTAGCCAGGTAATTCTAACCCGATTGAAGCGAGCAACCGGTGGACTATTTTATTTCTTCACACTTACACATATACTACACTCTTACAAGCATTCCACAGATGCTAAAAAAATGATAATAAAAAAGATTCATTTGCAACAATACTTTTATCTGCTAAATAAACTCTACGTGCATGAAAAATTATATAAACCTTTAACAAAATTTTATAAAGGTCCACAAGTTAATTGTTTCGATTGTGGCCAGGAGTTGCCCTCCTAAGATTGTTTGGGTCGGTAGCTTCTATCCGAAGTTGAATTATAAAGCACACAGCCCAGCTCTGAGCCCACCCTGACTTGAATTTTTACAGGTCATTTTCGAGCTTTCATGTGTCACCGCTCTTTTCTATATGTATGCTCATGTTTGATGTGTTCGTTAAATCCTTAGCAATGTCTGCTTACTTTCACGTGTGATAGCAAAGGCCAAGTACACATTTTACTTAATTTTCTCCTACATTTCATTTGTATATGATTTACATTACTCGCGAACATGTATGATTTACATTGCCTGCAAAACAAATAAAATATACATTTTTAAAAATTTATGAACTTTTAAGTCTAGTAAATTTACGAGAATCTCTCGGATAAAGTAACAGACAGCTACTAACTAGAATTCACTGGTCTAAATGGGTTGTTAGTCTGAATGGGTTTACCAACCTATTTAGACTAAGTAAATTCAAAAGAAAATAGTGATGTCGGAATGATGGAACCATTGGATCTTAACCGGTGTCGTTCAAATTAAATTAAAATTCCTCCTGAACATTTCAACATTCGAACGACAACCACGAACAAACTAAAATGTGACATATAAATCACAAACCTCAAACCCTTAAAGTTTAGAGCTATTACTACAGTAGAAGGCTCAGAGCAAACTTTGTGGGCAACACGACAAGGAGTCTGGCTCGAGCGACAAAAGAATCTTCTTCAGCAATCTCTCCCTACTCTAAATAACAACCCATAGAACATCAAGGTAGCTAATCCAGTACGACGTAAATCCTCACACCCTTTTTAGGCTTCTGTGCAACCATATTATGCAGCGTAAGTCCTAACTAACCTTAGGTTCTGAGGTTATCGTTTGGTTCGACGTAAACCCTCTTATCCTTCTACACTATTTGCATAATTGGGTATTATACAAGTGTAAGTCTCAAGTAATAAAATTAGCAGGATTAAACAACTAAATAACATCGTCTCCAAAGCGCATCCACACAGTAAGATAGTTTGAAAAGTCCCTGAGGACTCTCCTCAAGATCTATAACGTCACCTACTGTTTCCTTCTTTTGACCTCTGAAAATAAATGTTCCTACTTGAGTCATTCCCACTTGTTTTTTCATATCCTACCGTGAAAACCTAAACCTTGAATTCTTGAAGACTAATACCTCTGATCATTATCGAGAGTTTTCTCAAATGACCTCAATCATTTGAGATGTCATTATCTATAAGGGCTTGCCTCCATAAGAAACTTGGAACCCAGATAAAATAAACTCTATTTAATCTTTGTATTAGATAGAAAAATTTGTCGGTCACACATAAAAGATTCGCGGGCCAAACGGATGTCACAAAGCTCTTAGTTTGCATGATTGGGTCCATCACAGAGGTATACACCTATCTTTCAGGAAGGTGTAGTATTTACGGTATCGAGTACGATTATGTAAATTACTAGGCTGATGAGATCCATTCGGTCTCATTTTTCAAAGATTAAATTACCACTATTTTCAAAATACAAAAATTATATACCTCTATTAAATTAAATTATTTTCAAAAAATTTTACCGACAGGGCTCTTATCGTAGCCGATGGACAATCTTTTCAACAATATATATATATATATA